GCCCGAAATTCCCAAATTTCTTCTGTTTAGCTCGAAAACATCGGAGCTGAAGACATTCTCGACGTCAACGAACGATTGATTCTGGGCCTCATCTGGACCATCATCTTGCGTTTCCAAATCGACACTATCGTCATCGATGCGGTGAGTTTTACTTAGGGTCGCAAGGGTTTCGATAATATTAGGAAAGCGAAAGCCGGTACAAAACGTCAAATTCTTTTTTTAGGACGAACAAGAGACCGGTGAACGGGAAGCACGCCAAGGATGCTCTACTTCTTTGGTGCCAGCGCAAGACCGGAAGCTACAGAAACGTTAAGGTAAGATCTTTACCGAAATTCAAACCATTTAGCGGGTGAAAAGCTTCGCGAGCTCGTGGCGCGGCAGGCTTGCGTTCAACGCTCTCATCCACGCTCATCTTCCGGACCTGCTTCACTACGACGGGCTGAACCCGCAGGACCATATGGGCAGCAAGAACAACGCGTTCGACATTGCCGAAAAGAAGCTGGATATCGCCGGGTATTGCATTGTCAAGTTTCGCTGCTGCTGCTTCCTTGTTAGCAGGGGAATTATCTTAAAAATCAGGCATTTTAGTCAAAATCTCCAGATTTTCCGAATTTTTGTCGTGTTGCAACGTAGTCTGGCATTCGAAAACCGTGTGAAATGTTAAAGACTTGGGTAAAAATTTCAATTTTTGCTCGACGGCCCCTTCCGGAAAAATTCTTACCATAGTCCCCCGCTAACAAGGAAGAATCGCTTCGCTCTCACTGGCTTGCTTCGGCTATTTTATTTTTAAATGTGTAACCATTTATAGGCTGCTGTACGCTGAAGACGTTGACGTGGGCCGTCCCGACGAAAAGTCGATCATCCCGTACGTCTCGCTCTACCCTACCATCATTTCGCCAAGCAGGAGGCCGAGATGACCGGTGCCAGGCGTGTTGCCAATGGAAACTTTCCGCTGCTGTTTCTATTGCTTTTCATAGATCGTTGGCAAGCTGATGACACAAAGCAGATGGAAGACGAATACCAAGGCATCGCCAGCGATCTGCTCGAGTGGATCACGGTATACTTGTTTGCTTTTGGCCTACAATTCGTTTTTGTTTAGCAAACGATTGGCATGTTGAACAGCCGCCGATTCCCGAATTCGCTGAAGGGCATCCAAGAAGAGATGGTCCGCTTCAACCAGTTCCGCAACATCGAGAAGCCGCCCAAGTACAAGGAGAAAGGGAGACCTCGAGGCGCTGTTCTTCAACATCCAGACGAAGAGGAAAGCCATGGGCATGGAATCCCTTCGTTCCGCAGCACGGTAATCTTTGGAAAATGGCTACCCAGCTCATTGTTTAAGGCCTTTCATGAAAGACCTGGAGACGACCTACAGGATCGATTGGACAGCGCCGAAAACGAGCGCCAGACGGCGATCATCAACGAAATGCTGAGACTCCAGAAGCTCGAGCAGTTGGCTGAACGTTTCTACCGCAAGGCCGAGCTGCGCGATCACTGGCTAAGGGACATGGGTAATGATTTCTCCTTTCGGCTAGACTGAAATGTTTGATATACCAATAAATCCGTTGACTTTCATATGTTTGTCGCTCTTCATTTGCTAAACAACATGTTTAGGTGGTCATCTCGATGAACTTGAGCTCGGACGCACGGCCAGCGACGTCAAAGGCAACTCTCCCGAAGCATCAGGCTATCAGCGCCGACATTCTACCCCGTGAGGAACGCTTCCGCATCTTGACGCGCATCTGCGGCAGGCTCTCCGCCGGCAACTACCACGAAGCCGACCGCGTGCAGGCAAGGTATTTTTATTTTTGGCGCTTGAAAACATGATATTCTAGGGATCGGGTAATCGCCGAGAAATGGGCGCATCTGCTGTCGGTGCTCGAGGCCAAGCGCAAGCAAATTATGGGCTTGAACGACCTGATGGGCCTTTTACGCGACATCGACACGTTGAGCAGCGAGCTGAAGCATCTTGAGGTAATCATATTTTGTTGCGATAAACGTCAGTTTGTTTTAATTCACTTTCCGTTTTTTTAATTAATCCACGGTTTTTCAGCCGGTGGCTCAGCAATCGTGACGTTGCGCTGTGCCATCCTCGGCGTCGACGATCCTGATTGGCCGCCACGGCGAGCTGGTCGAGGGTCAAGTGAAGGCGCACGGCGCCTGGCTCGACAACGTCTCCGCCAAGCCCAACTCTACATCCGCGGCAAGGAGAGCAGCACGAGATCCCTCCAGCGAGCTCGAAGACGTCAATGCGCAATACGAGAACCTGCGAGCACTCTGCCAGCAGCGCCGGAATGCCTTGCACTAAGGCGCGCGAACTGTTCCAGTTCATTCAGGTACGTTAGTTAAACTTTTCTTGTATAATTGATGCAATTTTAGGATCACGAGGAGGAAATGACGTGGCTGGCCGAGAAGAGAGTCGCTATGCCTGAACGCACTTCCAAGGGCGACATTGCAGCACATGTAGCCAACATTTCCCGCCTCCACAAGACCATCGGATCGGAGATGCGCATTGGACACGCACCAAGGAGATCATGGCCGCCGGCGAGCAACTGGCGATGGGCGGGCAAAGCCGAGATGACGTCCAACGCCGCATCCAGCAGATCCAACACCGCTGGGAATCCCTGCGAAAGGTCGTCGACGATTTGTCGAACTGGCTGCAGGAGGCCGAACGTGCGCAGCAATATTTCCAGGTTTGTGTCTTTCAAAATGCTGTTTTATTGAATACAAGGTGATAGTTGTTTTTCTCGCAATTCAAAATTGTTTTCAGGACGCCAACGAGCGCCGAGTCTTGGATCCGCGAGAAGTTGCCGCTCGTCAAGTCCGACGACTATGGCAAGGACGAAGGCCGGGCCGAGGCCTCCTCCAACGCCACAACCGGCTCGAGGAGCAGATCCACGCTTTCCGGTAACAGTTTTTGCCGCGTCTTTTCAATGTTCTTTTAGTTCTGGATATTGTTCGCCTGGAGGAATCGGCTACGCAGATCGCCAGCACCAACTTGATGACCGGTATCCATGCGACCGAGGTGGACACTGAAGAAACCGTCGTGCCACAGGTATACTTTTTATTACGTGATTGGAATTGTTTAATAGAGGTCGAAGACGTATGCGAAGAGAAAAAGGTGGCGCTTATTTGTAAAAATGGGGGAGTTTCTGTCAGGAATGCATGCTTTTTCCTGGCAAACTTTTCATAAAGCTTTCAAATGACTTTTTCGGTAGATTTCTGAGGGCTTGAGCCGGAGTTTTGATCTTCCAATCCAGTCTTCCTTACAATCTTTCTTCGTTTAGGTCGGCGATGCTGTACAAGTACTCTCCGGCAACGGGATGGAGGTCAAGAGGGTGAGATCGTCGCCCCGTCATCGACAAGTCGAACCCGGACGTGGTGTGTGCTGAAACAGAGATGGAAAGGAGGGATATGTGCCGGCTACGTACTGCCGACTGATCCCCGGCGAAACTGTCACCATCGCCCAGACAACGGCCACTTCTTCCAAAGTCTCACCGCGGAGAGCCGGCCGACGGCAGGAACGACATCCTGGCTCGCCAGCAAGCCATCAGCATGGGCGACCGCAACTTGAACAAGCTCGCCGAAGTCAGGAACGGCTGCTCAGCGACAACATCAAGCTGATGCGCTTCTTCCGTGAATGCGACGGATTCGAGACGTGCGTTTTGGCTCGAATTCCTTTAAGCCTGTACTCTAGTATTTCTGGGCTAAGATCTACACTTTTGCTTATATATCTGAGTTTTGCCCTAGTAACGTCATAGCAAGTTTTTGGTGCCTTTTGAGTCGACATTTGAAGTGGAAAACGATTAGAAAACTTCAAAACTGTCAGCTATTTGACATTCCGGGGTGAAAAATCGGTATTTTTAGTTCGAATAGATTTTTTTAAGCTTTTGACGTTTTGGAATAGCAAAACAATTAGAAGCTCAGTTCGGATCCCTGGTACAAAATTGAGGCCCCGTCACTGAAAATGCTAAAGAACTATTTTATTTTCTATCGTTGATTTTCGCCTTTGCGCACCTTTTTTTTAGTTGGGCTCAAGACACGATGAACGTGCTCTCGGACGAGCCCTCTGTTGAACATATTGAGGCGTTCCGCAAGAAGCTTGACAAGCTCGAGCACGACATCGCGCCGCGAATGAGGCACCCAGCTGAGGCGTATCAACGGCATGGCCGATGAGCTGACCGCCGAGGGCACAGCGAGACGCGCCAAATCGTCGTCGCCCGCCAGCAGGCCGTCAACAAGCCCTGGGCCCACATCGACCAGCTGTTCCGCAACAAAACGGCTCGCGTGCAGACGCGCTCGAGCAGCTCGCCGACTTCAATGCGAACTGCGCCGATGCCGAGAGCTGGATGAAGGCCAAGTTCGATCTGATCGACCGCAAGCCCCAGGATCTCAAGTCGTTGCAGAATTTGGAGCGCGACTTGAAGCCCTTGGAGGACAAGATCCGGGTGGGTTTTTTCTTCCTTTCTCCCTTTAGTTTTGAGTGTTATTCGTTTTGAAGATACCTGGTTAAACTTTTATTTTTAGTCTCTCGAAGAGCTGGCGGAGCGCGTCAAGAAGTCAAACCCGGAAATGGCCGCCGTCATCCAAAAGAAGATCAACGAGCTGCGCGGGATGTACGCCGATCTGCTCAGCCAAGCCCGCCAAAAGATCCAGCTGGCCGAAGAGACGCAAGGTATAGGCTTGACCCTGTGGCAATTAGCAGTTTCTTTAGGCCAGGAAATATTCGATGGAGCGCTCGCGGAAATGCACGCCTGGATCGAAAGACGAAGAAGGCGCTCTCGGACATGGAACGGCCCGTCGACGTGCAGACCGCCGAGGAGATGCTCAAGAAGTACGTCGAATTGGGTGAACAAATCAAGGTATAGAACCGTCGAAAGTTTACGTAATCGTTCTTAGGACAAGAAATACGCCGTCGAATATGTCCAAGAGCTCGGACGGCGTCTGCTCGTCAAGAACCCGAAACTGAACGTGGTCAAGGAGAAACTGGAACAACTCCAGTACGCCATGGCCGAGATTGCCAACATTTGGAAGTCGAAGGTATTAAGCCGGCAATTGTTATTGAATCCTTGTTTTTTTAGCATGCACACCTCAAGCAGCAGCTCGACCTACAGTTGTACAATCCGCGAGGCCGAGCGCATCGATGCGGCCACCAAGGGCCATGAAGCTTTCCTTGATTTTAAGGTAGCCGGTGCTTCTTGAATCACACACAATTACCATCTGGACCTGGGTGATCTCTGTCGACTCGGCTGGAGAGAACCCCCCGAAGCGCCATCGCGATTTGGAGGCTGAGTTGACGTGTGAGGGAGGTTCGTCTCGATGCGGTCAGCAAGAACGCTCCGACGAGCTGATCCGGTTGAAGCATCGCGGAGACAGCTAATAACATACATCCATGATGTAACTTCTTTTATTTGCTGGCTTATGATTCATTTCTAGCGCCGAAACGAGGTTCTGGCAAGACGTGAAGTTTGTCCGTCGCGCCGCCTCCACAAGCGCCTGTGCCCAGCCTGAGGCCTCCTGGAATACCACAGAACTTGCGCCGTGACGGAGACGAGATGCTCCAGTGGATCGGCGACAAGAAGAAGGTGGCGCTCGACGGCCACTCACCTCGACCTGCACACGATCGACATCGTTGCTCAAGCACGAGGCTTCGAGCAGAGATCAAGGCCAACATGTAGTGTGTTGAAAGGATTGGGCCCATGGTCTGTTTTTGTGTTCGTTTGCCATCCCAGCCACTTCCCGAATTTAAAAAATTTGATTTTTCAGGATGGCGCAATGCTCGTTTCTCGCCACCACTACGAATCGCCGAACATCCAGAAACTCGTCGAGCGCGTTAACGCGTCGTGGGCCGAGCTCAAAAGACGCTGCCGCGCGCAAGGGCGAAAGCCAGCTTGGGCATGCCGCCGACCAAAAGGTATAACGCTCTTCAGTCACATTATTGCCGTTTTGGAATCTCAACCGCATCTTGATGACGCGAACGCCAAGCTCGACGAGATCGACGAGTCGCTGTGAGATAAAGACGTCGGCAACGACCTGCGCGGCGTCAAGGAGCCTCCTCCAGAAGCACACGACCGTTGAGCAGGAAATGCACCTCTACGAGAACAAGGTATGGCGCTGTGTCCACTTTTCAAAAAAATTGCGTTTAGTTGACGGAGATCTCGCGCCGTGGTAATGTGATGGCTGGCGAAGGCCATTTCGATGCGGCTCGAATCATTTCTACCGTCAAGAGCCTCCTCCGCCGCTTTGAGCAGTTGACCGGCCCTTGCTCAGCACGTCGTACGGCGCTCGAGGAATCCCTGAAGTGGCACCAACTCGCCTTTGACGTCGACTGCGAACTCCAATGGATTGCCGAAAAGGAGCCGCTGGCCGCTTCCGAAGATACGGGCCGCACCCTGACCGAGGCGCTGAACGTCTTGAAGAAGCACGAGCAGCTCGAGGCCGAGGTCAATCAGCATAGCCGCCACATCGAGGGCACCATCCATCGTGGTGACGACCTCATCAAGGGACATCACGCAGCACAGGCTGACATCAAGGCAAAGTGTGATCAACTGGCCGGCGCCTGGGCTCACCTACAGCAGCTCGTTCGTCGCCGCAAGCGCATCGTCGACTGGGGTGTGAAGGAGCAGCAATACATGTTTGACGCTGCCGAGGTATGAACTGCTTAATTGTCAAAAATTAGTTTTTAGGTCGAGTCGTGGATGGCGGAGAAGCGGATCCTGATCGAATCCCAGGATTACGGACAAGACGAAGACGCTGCACAGAAGCTTCTCGCCCGGCACAAGGCTCTGCAAAACGATATGAACACTTACAAGTAGGCGTCCCCATCCACTTCTCACTCAACTCTTTTTTTCAGACAATGGGTCGAGCGTCTGGCTGTGAAGTGCGCCGAGTTGGTCGACTCCCATCGGCCCCACGTCGACCGCTTCTCCAACAAGCAACGCGACCTTGAGGCCGAATTCGATCGTCTTTCCGAGCTGGCCGATAAACGTCGCGCGCTGCTGGAAGAGACGCTGTGTTTGCACGAATACCTGAGGTGTGTTTTCTTTTAATTCTTTATTGTCCGGGTCATTTAGTCTATATTGGTTTCTCAAATTTATCTTTTTCAGGGAAAGCGCCGAGCTGGAGCAGTGGATCAACGAGCAGCTGCAGACGGCGATGAGCGAAGAATACGGCGATGACTACGACCATTTGATGGACCTGCGGACGCGCTTCGAAAACTTCCGCACCTCGGTCAAATCGGGTAGCGAGCGATTCGTCTCCTGCGAGCAAGCGGCCAACTCTATTCTTCGTCGCAACACGCCGTTTGCCCGGGATGTGCTGAAGAGGCAAGAACGACTCAGGACGGTAAGTTTTGTGTTTATTTAGATGAGACCCTTTTTGTAGGTCTGGCACCTCCTCGTCGAATACATGGAATCGCGTGAGCAAAAGCTGAAGGCGGCCGAAGAACTCCATCGCTTCAACCGCGACGTCGCCGAGCATGAGCAGCGCGTCGCTGAAAAGCTGAGCAACATGCCGACGGAGCTTGGCCGTGACGTGAAGCAAGTGCATTCGCTCTGGCAAGCCCACGAAACTTTCGAGAAGCAGCTGGTCGATATGAAGGTACGATATATAATTTATTTTATGTTGTTAGTACAATGCGTTGCTTGCCAACGACGCTTCACGCACATGATAAATTAATTAATTTCAGGCTCGCCTCGACCATTTGCTGCAAGAAAGCGCTCGTCTGAAGGAAGCTTACCCTGGCGGCAATGCCGACCATATCTCCCAGCAGCAAATCACACTCACCGAGGGCTGGCAAGAGCTCGAAGAGGCGACGTTGAACCGAAAGGACCGCTTGCGGGCTGCCTACGACTTCCATCGCTTTTTGGGAGAGGTGGGCGACTAATTTCACTAATCTTGTTCTCAAGCTTTCCGTGAAAATGGCTATATCAACTTTTTCAGGTCCGGGATCTTCTGTCCTGGTGCGACCTGATGGTGGCCGACATGCAAACTGAGCAACAACTCCACGACCGCCAGGGCGCGCAGTGGCTGAAGGAAGAGCACTCGCGGCTGCAGTCTGAGATCGAGGCCCGCGCTCCCGAATTTGCCAAGCTCGACGGAACGGGCCGAAAGATGATTGCGGCCGAGCACTACGCCAGCGACGAGATCCGTGCTCGTCTGCAACAAGTCGAGCGGGCCTATCAGCAGCTAAAAGCGAATGGAAGTTGCGCGAATCCTACCTGTCGCAAGTCGTC